TACCCAAATTGAAATAGATGACGACTTTACGAGCTTTTATACACATGTCGGTGAATGTTTAACACACACACACACACACACACACACACACACACACACACACACACACACACACACACTTGGATTGTGCATGCCAATAACTGCGTATGCTGGACTTTTGGCGCAGGCGTCACATGCTGGAAGCTATTGCACAGCGCAGTCCGAATAGTTGAAAGAGGATGTGATAATGCATGCGGTGGGGTGTGGTGCACTGACAGGAGCCTCCGAGGAGTGCATGCTATGATTCACTGTTGATCCTATACAGAGAACTGCTAACTCTGCTGTAGACTGTGGCTCATGTAAAACCTGATCTGGATGTGCCTAATCAGAGACCATTATCAGCATTTATAAGAAAGGAACAATGTTCATGTATGCTAAAGTGACCATTGTAACCAGACCTGAAGATAGTAAGTGCCATTTAAGCATGAGAAGTGAGTGACATGCTTCATTTGTTGCTGGGATACAAGAAAATAACAGATACTGTTTTGAGCGTGATACGGTGAAGCAGACAATAGATTTCCCATTGTGATTTTCCCTTTCATTCCCAGGGCCGTGTTAACTGAAGGCAACGGACAGAATACCTCTGACAGATTTATATTGACTTACGAGCCTGCCTTCAAAGACAAACAGCTGAATCGCTTTGCATTTTGCTTTTTCTTTGGATTTGCTGGATTTTTAAACTTTTAACATATTGAAAAAGACGGGACTGCATGTCGTCAGGCCAGAAATCAACAAATTCTGTGAGACCTCAATTCACAGAATCAAACATTTGTTGCATTGAATATTTGTTAAAAAAAAAAAAAGTAGATCTGTGCCATGCATTATCAACACAAATCACTTTACGCCTTTGTAACATCAAAGTTGTTAATATTTGTTTATACTGACCAGCATTGGGTTGTCAGGCCCACCAAAGACTTTTCTGTTGGGCAACACACTAAAGAAAAACTTACCCACAATTACAACCTAATTTTTAATTGTTAGATGAAAACTGGATCAATTTGATCTCAAAGGTCTATTCTCTTCATTTTGTCGCATTACACTCAGCTGCACTGCTTCAAGTACTATGTGTGTATATGTTGTATTTTTTTGTCCGATCAGATTTCAACCTCTTGTGTGCTTTCCGTGTCCATTTCATCAGTTTATAAACTTTTTATATTTCTTGAAAAATAATAAGAGATCTTCAAAAGTGAACAAATCAGAGCTCAACCGGCATTCCAGTACAGTTAATGTTCATCCTCGGATGTTCCACTGTATTTATTTCTCTTCCCTCCCTCACAACTTGGTAATTATTTTACAGCCCCGTGTCATCAGTAGGCTAGGATTGTGACGTAACTTTCACAAGGCATTACAAGTAAGAACTCTGGACGAAAACGAGATGAGAAATGGAAGGGCCAACTCCAAATCCACCCAGGTGGATGCGTTCACTTCAAGTATGCAGTGAGCTCATGTTGGCTTTACTTGACTTCTCTGACCAAGCACTGGCATTGGAAAAAGGGAGTGGGCAGAAGATATTTCACACAGTCATGCAGTATATCACAAGTGAACACTCCCATAAAGTACACAAGCATTTAGATAAAGTGAGCAGGAATGTGTTTGAAGATTTGTGGGCGATACAGAAAAAAGTTCAAGATAATGCGTAATTATGGATTGCAAATCTTTGGATCTTAATTCTACGCAAGGGTTGTGACATACAGACTTTGCTCCAAATCCTGTTGCACTCATGCTGATTTCGTAGGAGTTTGAAATTCTCTTGAAAATCAGGACTGTTGCAAAATCCCGGCATGCATGCACACGAACACGCACACACATACCCGTGCTCACAGACGCACACAATGCACGGGTGATTGCCATAGAATTATCGCAACAGGCACTATAAATAAATTCAGGAGTGAATAATTATGGAAGTTTTTTTTTTCAATTCAACGATGTAAGCAAGAGTCATTTGGTTTGGGTGTAAAGGCCCATTTTCCACGTTGCATGAAAATGCTGTGACTGCAGAGTGAAATGCACGACAAAGTTTTGTCAGTCTCTTATAGATATTCTACTTTGTGGCCTGCACTTAAATGGGACACTTTGCTGCACACATATCAGGCAGCATATCCAACAGTTTGAAATGAAACTTTCACTCTGAAGCCTGGTACATGCGTAACAATTTTGAAAAATGAGAGACCGTGTCTGCCATTGTCGCGCATGTCAAGGATTTTCAATTGTTCAGGATTATCTTTCGAGGCATTTGATGATCGGGTTTTTGGAGACTTGGATGTTAAATGAAAATCAGCCTCAAAACACACAAGATGAGTCTACATACTTGACTTCCAAAAAAACCATACAGTACATTCAAAATAATGTCATAATTACATGTAAATATCAATGATTAAATGTTACAATTAGTGCAACAGTCAGAAGCAGAAGCAGCTGAGAGAGAGAGCGAGAGAGAGATTGTTTTATTGTCATTTTATGTTTTATGACTTTTGTCTTGGACTTTTTTCTTTATTCTTTCTATATATATATTTTGTGCAGCTTTATTTGGATTTTTATTGACATACCCATGAATTGTAGACTTTTTTTTTTGAACGATTTCGATTTTTTTGCCACATTCAAAATGTTTCAATGTTACGTTTACTTTTGGGGAGGGGGGATTATGTTTATATTTCCAACAGTGCTATTTCCCCTTATTAAAACCGGGTTAGGGGGTTGGGGGGTAGTGAAACAGATTTATGGCATTTCCTTTCATTTTAACGGGGAGAGTTGTTTGGACATATGAGTGATTTCATTACATGCCTGGTAATGGGATGGATGAAACTCATAAGTCAAGGCACCACTTCATTAGATGTACAGTAAATGTAACACTATCCTCCTTATTGTAAGATACTGGGCTCACAGTCGCAGTCATTTTCATTTTTGAGACGCTCCATTTTAAGAGGTACGATTTGCATGTCATGTTGCTATGAAGTAGACACAGCAAATGGGCGTTTACTTACTTGCATACTGGAGGAACATGTATTATTTTACTGAAACATTAACATTAGCCACAATGTTATCTTTTGTAAGGCGTGGTGCACCCTGGACTGGTTGCGAGGAAATTGCAGGATGCATTCCATTTACAAATTGTGATGCAATTATGGCGGCCCGGTAATCGAGTGGTTCACAGTGCAGAGGTACCGGGTTCAATTCCAGCTCTGGCCTTCCTGTGTGGAGTTTGCATGTTCTCCCCGTGCATGCCTGGGTTTTATCCGGGTACTCCGTTTTCCTCCCACATTCCAAAAAAAAAAAACATGCATGGCAGGCTGATTGAACACTCCAAATTGTCCCTAGGTGTAAGTGTGAGCGCGAATGGTTGTTCGTTTCTGTGTGCCCTGCGATTGGCTGGCAATCGGTTCAGGTTGTCCCCTGCCTACTGCCCGAAGACAGCTGGGATCGGCTCCAGCATCCCCCGCGACCCTAGTGAGGATAAAGCGGTTCGGAAAATGAATGAATGAAGGAATGATACAGTTATTTCTTGTTGCACGTGCGAGGAAAACAAGTAGTTCTGGGAGGTCACATGAAAAAAAAAAAGATTTTACTTGGAAGTACATTTTGTGTCACATATTGATGACAATTAAAGGTGTTAAATAATCTTTACGTCGCTGCAATGTGAAAAGAACGTGGAAAAGGCTGACTTTCCTCCATGCTTGCAACAGAACTTCACTACTCCTTTACAAACAAAGGCCAGAGTGTTGGTCTTTGTGATTTTGTTTGTTCAAACACCACTTTTTGTATGTTCACCTCGAAGTGCATTGAGCAAGCAAAATAGTTTGTTCATCATACATCATACAGTGAAATTCAAGGCAATCACCAAATGACTGAACAGGGTTTCATGAAACATAGCAGTGAAAGATCTCTCACAGTACTGCAGAGTGAGACCAAACCCTGTTGCTACAACCAATAAGAAGCATGAGTCATTTCTCCCTTTGGCTGAGGGGTGATGACCCCACAAGCCTCTCCCATCTCCAACAGCTAGAAAAGTTGGCCCAGAGCCTAAACGGAGATAAGGAGTTGCACACACACTTGCACTCCAGCAGTCCTGCATGCACACACGAGAGTAACACACAGTCCCTTCATACGCACCGTTTCCTCCCCAAAACAGGCCGTAACAGGGGCCAAAATCAAAACACTCAAGAACACACACATGCATGCGAGCGCACACACAGGAACTGGGAGGAGATGTCGAGCGTGATATGGTGAACAATAGAGGCACAGATTCCTTTCTCATGGGCTTGTCAATAACTAAGGGGAAAAAAAAACATATATATATATATATATATATATATATATATATGGTTTTTTTTTCTTTAAATTAAATGTTGGCCATAAGGTCACCACCACAAGTTCAGTTATGAAACGTCCACTCCTCCTACAGAGTGCGAGGATAAGTCCATAGTTTTTTGATAGGAACAACGTGCATGCTAAGTGATGACATTAAAGTTGTCATGCATAAATGCAAATAAAGCAGCGAGTCACTTCATATTTGCATGTGAATATTCAAAGTGGTATGAATGAGAGTAGACTAGCAGGTATTTAGATAAGCATGCAGAAATGTTAAAAGTGACACTCTCAGACACACACACGCACACGCACGCACACACACAAACGCACGCACGCACACGCACACACCTGTACAGAACTCTAGCTCCCTCAAACATGAACACAAAAGCAGCAAAACACACACACACACACACACACACACACACACACACACACACACACACACACACACACACACACACACACACATTCCACGAGAGTGCCCTCATAGTGGGAAAGGGAAAAAAAACCCCATCGGTCCTTAAAGAAAAACAAATGGTGGTTGTGTCAAGCCTGTGTTGAAGGGCAGAGCAAAACTCCCTCCTTCTCTCGCCTCCTCCCCTCCCTCCCACCAGCCAGACCCGCCCCAGGACCAGCACTATATCAGGAGTCGGCTTGCCGCTACCCATCTCCACTCCTGGTTCAAGCGGCTCAACTCCTCTCGTCTCCTCTCTTGAAAGACTCTCAGCCATGCAGTCCAGCTACAGCATCTCCGGCGGGCCCATCACGATGAGCAGACAGAGCTACAGCTACTCATCCAGAGCTGCGCCCAAAGCTCACAGCTTGTCCGGACTGAGCCTCAGAGGTCCTCGCATCTCCTCTTCCAGCATGCGCACTGTTTCATCCGGGGTCGGCGGCGGCTACGGCGGCGGCTACGGTGGCGGCTTAGCCTCCTTCGACCTGTCCAATGCCTTGGACCAGAACACCATTCAGCTGAACGAGAAGGCCACCATGCAGAACCTGAATGATCGTCTGGCCTCCTACCTGGAGAAGGTGCGCTCTCTGGAGGCTGCCAACGCCAAGCTGGAGAAGCAGATCAGAGAGTACTACGAGCAGAAGGGGCCTGCGGCCGACAGGGACTACAGCAACTACTGGGCCATTATCAATGACCTGAAGGACAAGGTAGGCTGGCTCAACACCATGCAAGAAGTTTGCACTCTTGTTAATCATTACCATGGAAAACTGATACAGGTTTTAGAAATGTCGATTTGGCTCATACGTATGATTGTATCAAGTAAAAAACAGCTGCTGTCTAACGCATCTGACCAATTCTCCAAATGCACTCCAATTTAGATCATGGCCGCCACCATCGGCAATGCCAACATCCTCCTCCAGATTGACAACTCCAAACTGGCTGCTGATGACTTCAGAACCAAGTAAGTGTAAGATCTTGGCTAGCATAGTTTAGTTTAATCGGCGCTCATATTCCAAAAATCATGTTCATTCCACTTTCTTTGACAAAATCAGGTTTGAGCATGAGCTGATGATGCGGCAGTCTGTTGAAGCCGACATTGCCAACCTGCGCCGCCTGCTTGACCAAACCACTCTGACTAAAGCCGACCTGGAGATGCAGATTGAGGGTCTTCAAGATGAGCTGGCCTACCTCAAGAAGAACCATGCAGAGGTACCATATTGTTCACGAGTGCAATTCTTGTTAGAACGCCCTCTCAAAAGGTTTAAAATTCTAACTTTTTTTTTTGTGGGCGGGTGTGCTACTCAGGAGCTGGCAGCGATGCGATCACAGCTGTCCGGCACAGTCAATGTGGAGGTTGACGCCGCACCCCAACAGGACCTCAACAAAGTCCTGGAGGAGATCCGCGCCCAGTATGAAAGTATCACAGATAAACATCGCCGCGACCAGGAAGCCTGGTTTAATGAGAAGGTGACACAATTTTACATTAAAAAAAAAAAAAAAAAACTCATATACTTTGAATTATACTGAGGGCTTTTCTCTCCCTAGTCGGCCGCCTTGACCAAGGAGGTGACCATCAGCACAGAGACCATCCAGACATCCAAGACAGAAATCGGGGACCTGAGACGTACACTGCAGGGCCTGGAGATCGAGCTGCAGTCCCAACTCAGCATGGTGAGAGACGAAAGCCAGACGGCCTTCACACAATCTCGCCTTATATGAGCAAAAATTCCCAGATGCCTCTCTTGTCCAGGGAAAAGGAGACAGTGATAAAGGGTGCGGAAGGAGGGCTTTACAGAAGAATGCGTTTGGGAGGCAAGGGGGAGGGGTGGACTGGGAGAGGAAAACATTTCACAGTCTGGTCAGATTCTGGTAGACACTAAAGAGCTTGAAGAAAAGGGAAGGAATGCAGAACACGATGGTCTTGTAAGACCGCGGGTCACTGGAGTTCAAGAAGGTCCCCCTGTGACTTTTGCAACGAGTCAAAAAGGACGTTAAATAAAAACACTAAGTGTTGAAAACATAGCCACAGTGTCAGATACAATTCAGGGTGTGGCTGGTCTGCGTTATTTTTCACATTCAGTGTGACAGTGGTGCAAGTACACATGCGCTTCTTGTTGTAACCCTCTACAGAAAGGGGCGCTGGAAAACACGTTGGCAGAGACAGAGGCTCGTTACAGCGCCATGCTCGCCAGCTTCCAGAACACAATCAACATGCTCGAGGCAGAACTCGCCAACGTGCGCGCCAGCATTGAGCAGCAGGGCCAGGACTACAGGATGCTGCTGGACATCAAGACCAGGCTGGAGCAGGAGATTGCAACCTACAGGAGCCTACTGGACTCAGAGGAATCCAGGTAGATGAAAACAGACATATTTGGAGGGAACGTATATTGGAGAACATACATTTTGAACCGGCCAGTCATTGTTCCTTTTCTCTTTCCTTTCTCAATTCAGGCCAATTGGTTCAGGTAAGTGATGCTTAATGCCAGGCAAGGATATATTACATAACCGCATGGAAACTTGAAACGCTGCCATGATTTTGTCTTGTTCACAGGGAGCAGCAAGACCACAGTCACGACCACCACTGTGCGCACTTCCAGCTAAAAGGCTAAAAGGGCCACCTGGCAGGACAACAAACGGTTGCAAACACACGCACACACACTGTCTAATAAAAGCTGTTACACCTGATAAGTGAAATTAAAAAAGAACTGACAGAAAATGCAAGTTGAAGGCTGGGCTTGAGACTGAGAGGAGACGGAAGGCTGCGTTAAAGTTCACGGCATAGAAGAAATGTCTGTATGTGTGTGTTTGCATGCGCCGTCTAAACAATAAACCTGCTGGTGAATACAAGCTGTGTCATTTTTGAGACTTCATCTTAATGCTGTGACAGCTCTGTTTATGCAGTTGTTATAGCAACGGAGTTACAATGCGGGAGGTGGGAAATGGGGGCGGTGGAAATGTGTGTTCCGCAAGGACGGCATTGTCAGGAAACAGGTGAACAATGGTCAAACGTATTCATGTTAAACTCGGTGCCCTCAAAGTCTGATCAGAAACTTGAAAAGAGATGAAAACTAAACAGAGCAAGTGACCCCTGGATTTACTCAGAAGACACACCCTGAGGGCTGACTAATCTGTGCCCTGAAGGCTGTCGAACACTGTTACATAAACTCCTGTTACCTAAGTAACAAGAACACGTATACTTCAATATAGACACAGCGACTGGGAATGAAAATAGGGACAAACTGAACAAAGACAGGCGTTGTTAAAATCTGGTACCGGGCTGCACTTTGGACCCATTTATGATGGTGTGTAAAAGCTATGAAGAGGGTGGCGGGGGGAGGGAGGGCGGGTGCTTGGGCCGAGCCTCTTGATCACTGCATGGACATAATCTTAGCTGTTTGAATGGAATAGGAACAAGAAAATGAGGTGCGCTATATAACTGCCACACTGTCGTGCTACCGTCAGCACAGTTCAGCAGTAAAAGCAGCATAATGCCGATGAGGAGTTCACATTTCTCAAACAATGGTGTAATGTTTGCTTTGGACACACAGAGATTACACAGCGGGTGGGAGTGCAAAACCCAACCCCCACTGGGAAGCTTTACGGGCCCATATTTGGATCCGTCTCCAGCACCTCTGTTACATTACACTGTTTATGTAAAAGACGTTCCGAAGCCAATGCGATAACAATGTCAAAATATTTCCTTAACATAAACGATAAGATGTGTCGGAACTAGTCAAGAGTGAACTGTTAAGTATACAGAAAACACCAGTTTGGAGGTCAAGGCGCTCAGTCTCACTCCATCCTTTCTGAGTTAAATGCTGAACTTCCTTCTATTATGTGTCTTAATGATTATATAGTAAAAAAAAAAAAAAAAAAGCAGGAAATGTTTTGCACAGAGCTCACCGACCTGAGCATGTGTTGCCGACAACCCAAAACTATGTTTCAAAGTCTCTTTTTGTTATTATGAAGTAATAATGTAGTATGTCTGGGGAAGACAACAACTGATATCCTAAAGTGGCTCGACTCATCTTATTGCTATCCGCATTTTTTGGGGTGTTATTTACAACATAATAAATCCATGCTGTCCACTCTGAGCACATACCAAGTCGTTAAAATGATCATGAACTTAATTACTGGATGTCCAACGCGCGCGACTCAATTCTTACACAGTAATGCATTACATTGTTTTTGCACTTACTTTTCCGCGGACTGTAACTGAGTATAACTGCGGCTGTTTTTATTCGGTGTGATGGGGGAGGCTTGTACTGTAATGGTGTCGCAGATTAAAGGTGAATGGCCGGCTTGTTATCAGAAGATTGCTGTTTTGACTCCTGTTTCCTTCAAACATATCAAAATAAATATCCTTGAGGAAGATATTGAACCAAGAGTTGTTTAAGCTTAAATGTTCCCACTATGTGACTGAGGAGGCATTTTACCAGCTCCTAAAACAATCGACCGGTATTTTGCTATAGTAATATACCACGTATTGCAAAGCTGATTCAGAAAATACGATTCTCGTGCAGCCCGGCAGGACCTAATGAACAGGTTCTTCCTAATCCTGATGACTTTGCAACAAAGCCAAGAATGTTGAAAAGTACTGGACAAACTTTAGTTTGAATGGTTGCCAGTGGTGAGACTGAACGTTTTGTTATTATTATGAACACTTACAAGCCAGTGGTGAACCGTCAGGGCCAGCAAGGCCTTCTTTGCTGGCCTAAATCAGAAGCACCAAAGTACATTTACACTCTAAATTCTAGTATTCATTTATTTTCAACAGTCTGTTATCTTTATTTCATAGTGTTTCTCTTGGCTGCACTCCTTCTTGCATGTGTGTGGATGTTCTTTTTCTTTTTTTTAATCTAATCACATTGCAGCCTGTGTATTGGCATGTCAATCTAATCTACCCATGGTCTCCAGAATCAGTAGTTATTTTCAAGTTAATTGAAACTACGTTACCGATGGGAGAGTTCAGTTTAGTATAACCAATCAGGCTTCAGTTTTGCCCACAATTTTTAACGTCAGCATTTTTACATCCGCTGGAAGGAGCAGGGCAAGTTGAAAAGGCTAAACATCAAACATATAAATGGAGTAAACATAAAAGCTAATGGCATTTCCCGATCTGAGAGGCTTCTGCCTTTGTTGGGAATTTGCCCCATCCAATATGGCCACCGCATCTGATGGGGCTCTGCCAGGTTTCTACAATGAATGTATCGAGGTTTGTCCTCATATTCAACTCAGGAGGCTGTAGGGCCTGGGCCACATGGTATGGTGAATTTATTTAACAACTTCACTTAGACTATTAGTAGGAGGCAACAAGGTGGAAATTTCAGTTTTTCAACAACAATCCATTCCTTTTCTATGTCGCTTGCCCTGACTGAGCTGGATTCTATCCCAGATGATTTGGGGCAGGAGGCGGGGTATGTCCTTTTTCAAAATGTCATTATAATGTCTGAATACCTAATTTGTATATACTGTCATGTATTTTGTCTTAATGAGAAAATGTCTTTATTCATTTCTGACTGTGTATGTTTTATTGCTAATCTAAATTCAAAATGACAGCAGCAGCGATAAGAGGTACTGATTAGAGGTGGACTTTGACGGAAAGTCTGCATGAATTCAGATAAAAGACAGGAAGCCACGTCAAAGGGCTCGCTGCCTTGTCATGGCCGCGTGCCATGCAAGGCGACCTTGAGGTGACCAGAGAGACTACTTAGGAAAGGAGTATACGCACAAAGACATTCATGACTGCATAGTATAAAACCTCAACTACATGTATGTGTAATAAAATTGAAAGCCAGGCATAGTAAGTTTAAGGCTGCTTTTTGTCAAGTATGCTTGTGGAACATTCCCACCATGTTTTAACCTCGTTTTTCCTTCTGGGTACTTCTGCTGCACTTTAGGATGTGTAAGCAGTAAAGTCACTCAAACATGAAATGTCATCATGGAAATTTCACAAATTCAAATCCATCTCTCATACCAGTGACATATTTAATTAGGCATAAGTCAGCCCTCCCAAAGTTGAACCGAAGACTTGACGCTGCTACCGGGAGGAATGTGGCAAGGTCCTGGAGTTGAGCAAAGAAAGAGCATTCTTCACGTGGCTGCTGGCCTGGACTCTATTCTAGAGCCGTGTTCGCTTTGACACACAAGCTAAAAGGAAGGCCTAACCTGCTTGCAAATGCTCTGTCATGAAACATCACTGCGCAACTTTCCAAAGTAGGCCTGGACGAGAGGTCGGAATTGAACATACCCCAAAACCACTTCAGATGGTTTCAGGCTTTGCCAAGCCTGAGGTAGCTCTTTTGCATATATGGGTCTCCTCTCTGTGTGGGAACAAGCCTCTTTTGTCCATTGCCACCATTCGAGTCAAGCACATTGGAATCATCAACAGAAACAAGGTTGGCTGGGCAGTGCAGGATGGCTGGTGGGTGGGAATTAAACAGGTAGAGCTGGCTGCAACTACCACACCCACTTTTAATCCTCGCAGTCATAGACAAGGACACAAGCTAACGTAATTGGGCAGGGCTCATAGTTCTGGGGATAGAAGACTTCATTTGATACACAAATACATGGTGTCACTAAAACAGGGTTTACGCAAAGAAAGGCTTGGATCACTCTGCATGTCACATCCACCTGTAAAAGCCATCACTGGGGTGGGTTTATTTGTTCTGGAACGTATCCCAGTTTGAGCTGGGCGGAGAAACATAGCTGTCGTATGTATTGACAGACTTTTGTTCTGACAAACCTGACGGCCATTGCTGTGTGAGAGAAAAAAAAATTCCCTTCACTCCAGAGAGGCAACGTGAGGCACATTTTCCCTACTTGTCAAACTGTAACTGAGTATGTATATGCTGCATCATGAGTCTACTTTTCCAAAAGCTCTGTGCGGATGTGCCTGACTATTAGGAACATAACAAAAAGGCATTCATTGCAGCAGCTACAGTGCACTTGCAAAGCCAGCCGTTGAAAAACAAGTAAGCTCAGCTCAAAAGAATGCTTTTTAATCCACACCAACCAAATGGTCATGGCGTGTGAAGCAGAGTTGATTTTCTTTTACAAATTTATTGTCTCATTTTTATAATGCCGTGCATAAGTACACCGGGAACCAAGCCTTTTTAATGAGAATAATGGTCAGTTTTGATTGCCTCTGTCAAAAGGTATTCACCTGAGAGAATTTCTGTAATTGTCAGAATGCGACTGTACTGCATCATACTAAGTTACCATTAATACATAATTTAATTCTACGCACTTAATTTGTAGCTCATGATACTCGGGAAATTACACTTTAAATTAGGTTAAAAAAAAAATCCCCTGCACACCCCCAGATTAGATTTATGCAGCCTTTAGCTAGTCAAATCAATATGAGCGGAAAAACTCCCAACAACCGAAAGTTAAAGTAATACTGCCACCTAGTGCTCATTTTTAGTAGCATGTTAAAGGTTTCCAATGTTTGTCAGTAAAACCCCTCCCTGCCGTTGGCTGAAAATACACAACCATTTGAGTATTGCTTTCAAACTTAGCTTGTAGCAGACGCGTGCACATTTTCAGCATGACATCTTTGATCCACTGGTGAAAAGGACACTTTTGATTCGCTCCTCTTTCATCTATAACTGCTTCAAACAACAAAGTGTATGTAGGAAAAGTGGTTACGATTGCACGACTGTGTCTTATGTGTTGTGTTGTATTATTTTGTCATTTTATGTCAACTGTTCTTTTGATGGCGGAGTGGGCACCCGCAGCGGCTCCTCTTGTCTGGTTGAGAGAGAGGAAATTTCATCTGTGCTGTCTTTTGCACATATGTGCATTTGACAATAAAGTTGTACTTGATTTGATTTTTGTGCTGTCAGTAATGCCTTAAAATGCACTAGAGCCCCGGCTAATAGCATGAGCAACTGCCAGGCGCTGTCAAGTATTTCTTGAGTGCTGATATATTGCGAGAGAGGGACTGGCGCTACCAGCCTATCGAAAACATGAACCCAAAATCGATTAGCTTGCATTTCACTTCTGACCTTATTTGAAATAGGTTTTCAAAGCTTTTAATTACTCAATCAATTTCACGCTGTACGACGATGTGTTTGTTCGCAAGAACTTATATCGCACATTTCATTAAATATTAGACAAACTGTTGGCCGTCAGCATGTGCAGTACAAGTGTGTTCCAACATATGATATTGGTGATCCAACGAGAAAGAGCAGTGCGTCTTCTGAGATGGCATCAATCAATTTGCGCATAGTCGCATGAGGCATGAAGCCATTCTTGCTTTCTTGATGCGGCATCTGGAACACGTATATGCAAAGTCTGCTATTTTATTAACTTTAATGACGCTATCATTGAGGCCACTGCAGTGAAAAAGAAAACCGACAAAGTATGAACCGGAGAACTAAAATGTAAAATAATTTAACACGTTTCTTTTTGTTTTATTCTTCCCATTTAGGCAGGGAGCCAGGGAGGCTCTGCCTCGCCACCCGGCCCTGGCTGCAAAAGACAACCACAAAGGTCTTTTGAAAACGTTTTGAGTTAGGTCCAAAACACAAGACGTAAACAATTTATAAATCTGTAGTGAGGGAACCTATAAAAAAGAAAAATTATATACAATGTCTATGCGGAATATTACATGTATATATACCTGTATATTCTACATATATTGTATCTTTATGCAGAATACCTTCCTGACAATCAACCAGAATGAAGACTTGTCTCCATGGTGAAAAACTGCAGATCCAACATTTGCATTGCATCTTCACATTTTACTTATTGTAAAGTCATACGACTTGTTAAGCGTAAACACGTGCCCCCTTTACTTTTCATTCATTAATTAAAGGAGAGATGACACATGCCACTGATCATGACTTTTATTTTTTTTCTATATAGGGGAACCACAAGTACTTTAAAAGAAGGTTATACAGCGCTGTACACTTGGGAGCAGTACAGACAGACCGGATTAGTCTCATCTTCTCCCTTTAAATACTATTTATTTAAATGTCCTATAATCTTATCCTGATACATTGATACAATAAAAGCTTGTGTAACTGGTCCTGCAGCTTTTCTGATATGTCAATACAATTTTTGTTGGGACTGTTATTTCCTTATATTTGTTGCCCAAAAAAATGGGAAAATAAAAGCGATGATCAAAAACCATACGACAGGCAGAATCTGCCAGGCTGTAAGACTCCCAATTCACTCACACAATAGAGAGAAAGAGAGAGAGAAAGTAGACGGAGAGTGGGCAAGTAGAGATCCTATTTTCATGTTCTTGAAGGCTGGTCCATGGTGGAAATCGACATCAGTTCGTGGTGAGGTGCAGAAAAACACAAAAAGAGCTTTTGCACCTTCTGCAACCACCACTCTTCCTCTGTCCATCCGTCCGTGGGCTCACCGAAAAGCTCACTTCCATAATTGTGTGCTCAGAGTTTGGCCGGATCCAGGTGCCGCCCAACCTCCCATGGCAGCTGGAGACTGAGTGAAGGCCATGTGTCCGGGTGCGCCGTTCAGATGCAAGCCTGACATCTGATGGTTCACCTGAGGATGGCAAACACATTCCGATCAATACTAGGGAAGGAAACCATAATCTTGACCAACAATCAATAACTCAATTTCTAGCACTGAAGTGATAAAACATAATTGGACACACCCTTGAGAATAAAATCAGATGGGAGTTAGGCCTCATCCTTAAAATGGACTTTGATGCACAACGCGAGACTAATAAAGGTTTTCTTATCTTATCTTAACTTTTTTTTCTTTTGGCTTTTCCTGTGTGACACACAGATTTTTTTTTTTTTGCATGTCTTGCCCTCTCGTGGTCAGAATTTCAACTGCAGCTTTCAACTACATCGTAAATCGGCCAAAGCTTTTACGTCCAGTCATTCATTCCCTGTACGGTAAAACACTTGACATTAAAATTTTTGGCCTATTGCGAACAGTTTTGGCTGGGACGTTTTTCTTGTGTCGATTTTAATACCACACCGAACAAATAATTCTCCATCCATCCATTTCCATCCATTTGGGCAGTGACTTTACAGAGCTGTAGCATCACAGTGATACCTGAGCCATGTTCCACTGAGCTTGTTGCCCAGGCTGGATAGCGTACATGCCCTGGGCAGGCACCATGCCGGCAGGCATCGCACCGCCATGTGGCGCCATCATTCTGGGGGCCATGCCCATCACACCGCTAGCAGGTGCATTTCCCATGAAGCCATTGGGCATGGTCATCCCAACCATCATTCCCGGACTGGGCCCCATCATAGCTGCTCCACTCTGTGCCATCATGGCACCCATGACGGTTGTCGGTGGCACGGCCGTGCCCATGCCGGGGAAGGCCTGATAACCAGCAGAGGTGTGGACAGGAAACTGCATCTGAGAGGGTCCCATGAACATGCCAGCTGATGGAAAGAAGACATTACGCAAATCATAATGTTAATTTACCATGACATACAGGTTTGCTCATGTTTAGAATGTACACAACTCAGTAGGGAAGCACATGCAGTGTGTCTACAGTTATTTCTCCTTAAGCCTTCATTCAGCAACTTTTGCACTGGTGTTACCAATGGACTCAGACTGACGGATGGAAGGCCAGTGATTTGATCAGGCACTCTAATATATTAAGTAACTAGATGGACCTTTGAATTGTAAAATGTCATACCAATCGTTCTTCATGTTAGATAAGCTTTTATAGATTAATAGAAAGCCCACATTGTTTAGCTCTTTGTAACTATTGACATTTACGGCATTGGGGGACTTTTTTTCAGTTTGAGTTTGAAACGTCTGACTGTTTCTGAACGCATCTCGTGTCTCGAGGAATGCAAGAGATGTCACTGTTTAATGTACTATTTCCGTTATGACGCTATCCATTTGAAACACAAGTTGAGTGTGTTACAAATGATAATACAAATATTCGATCACAACTGTCGACCTGCCTGCTACATGGCACGAGTGATCCAAGTGATCAGCCGCAACATACACAATAAAGCCATTTCCGTGTTTTCAGATGTAGAGATCGCTTGTCCGTTTGAGACCCACCCGGCTATATACAGTGCTTAACATGAGTAGTAGCTAACAGTATTTATAATTCCACATGTACATTGCTGTGAAAGTATTTGCCCCCTTCCTGATTTCTGTGTTTGTTGTGTACTAATCACAGACAATGGTTTCAGTTCATCAAACCAATTTTAATACCACGGTTTAGGCTTTTTTTTACGCAGTCCCAATTTTACTTTCAAACGGAAGACATTCTCAGAAAAACCAATGCTGCAAATAGTAGAAACTTCTTGCTCTAACTTGGTGCATCAGTAAAAACAAATATTTGCATTGGAAATTGAACCCAATTCGGTTACATTAATAATGCATGTTTTGTTGAAAAAGACCTGATTATGTTACACATACAGTGCATTTGACAATAAAGTTGTACTTGAACAAAACAATAAATAAGAACTTAAGAATTTTTCAACCCCGCCCAAAACCTCTAGAGGGGTACCTGCCTTCAAGCTTGTTGGCGCTGATTACTACAATCAGCTTTGGCCGAGCTGTTTTGATACTCTACACTCACATAATGACGAGCTCTCGCGTGACACGAGAAGTCACACGAAATTAGGGGTAAAAAAAAAGTCAGATTAAAAGGATCGATTTACGATTTTATGAATCGATATTCGGCTATGGAAAGGATAATCAAATGGATTAATCTTTTTTTTTTAAACCCAGCTCTGCTCATAACATGGCCCTTTGGAGGTTTTATGTCGGTAAGTTACAACATAACGTAACTTGGTGTCCGCTTACCAGCTGGAGCCTGTGGCGACATGTTGTTAGTTCCATAGAGTGACAAGATGGAGTCCTTGGACATTGGTTTCTTTGCATGATCTTCTGTCTTGGTTGCGCTACTGCTATCATTGAACAGGTCAAGCTCGCCGTGTCCGGACCCTGGCGTGCCTCCGCCCACTGCTGCCTGTGGGCCTTGTGTAGGAGTGCCTGCAACACTGCTGGAGCTCACCTAGATGAAAAACAGCCAAACATTTAGAGCGAGATTGGACGGCACCAGGTTCGTGCTGAATTCACATGGTGTAGACTTATTTTTTTCTAACTCCAGTGACACTGCAAATATTGTTTGGATGCATATTAAGTACCCATGAGTTAGTTGCAACAACAACGAAGTAAACAATAGCAAATATCAATATTAAACATTTTGTATGCATCTTGACACGGATGACCATTCTAGTCTTTAACTGTCGTTCAGATTCACAGAGCCTTGAAAACATATTCATGGCTTGGGTTTTTTTTCACATCTTGTGACCTTACAATCACAAACTTGAATGTATTTGTTGAGATTTTATGTGAGAGACCAACACCAAGTAGCACATAATTGACAGCTGAAACCACCCATGTCCAGATTCAGTCAATTTCAACTTTTTTTCCTCACAAATCAATATTATTGGTCAGTCCCCACCCCGCGTGCATCTGTTATGGTGTGCATTCTTTGACCATGCATTGATAATGGCTTAAGATGCAAGCAGTTTTTTTTTTTTTTTTTTATGCGATGGTTTTGGAGTTGTGAGGATTCCGCCTGATGCCAGCAATATGGTGGATTGTAGGTTGTACCTGGGGAAACTGAGCAGTTGACGTGGAAGATGGTAGGGGGTTGGATACCATAGGACCAAATATGTCCAGGTCATTGTTGTTCTGACTTGTGCTGGTGATCCCATTGTTGCTTGGTGCAGCTGCCGGTGCGTCTGCCAGAGAAAAGTGAAAAGACTGGTTTTACAGGTGGAAAAAGCTTATCACACAAGGTAACAGAGCACTGTCAGACACACACACGCACAATTATTCAGTTAGACAACGACTAACTAGAACAGGGGTGGGCAAAGTTTTTGGCTCGCGGGCCACAATGGGTTCTAAATTTTGACAGAGGGGCCGGACCAGAAGCGCAGATGGATGGAGTGTTTTGGTAACCCCACCTCACAGGAGAAAAAAATATATATCATGGGATATGGAGAAAACATGTGCTTTAATTTCAAATGAAAATGAACAAAAGCATTACAACAAAAGATCTGTCTTTAAAGCCCCACAGTATTTAGCTATTTATTGAAATGAGTCTTCAAACACTGAAAATTAAATGAATAAAAAATATTTTTTTTGTTACTAACAATTTCTATTTTAAAGCACTGCAAGTTCTGTTACCTTCAGGATATCATCATCACTCTCCTCCTGACTGTATTTATTTCAAAAACAGTAAGAGATTCAGATGTACTTATCCTGCTCCTTCTTTTCAGTTTGTGTCTCCAGTGCCAAAGGTCAACAATGATCAGCGCAAGGACGGAACATTGATAACGCGCCACTGTGGAGCGCGTTATATTTGATCTGGTGCACATTGTTTGTTTTGAGAACGTGCGTTCATTTGCGCACCACTTATGTGCGCTCCTTAACAGAAATGACATGTAACATATAAGGCTTACTGAACTAATTATTTTCCAAAGCATTTTTTGCATAATACAAAGGAGAAACTTTTACTTTCAGTGGGAACAGTGCTGTTGGTCCCCCTTTTTAGCCAGTGCATCAAAGTCTGGAGTGAGTTTAGTTGTAGCAATTCTCAGGATGGATCTGAGGTGTTGGTCTGTTAATTGGGATCTGTGGCTGGCCTTGTTGATGTTCATGATGCTGAACGTCTGTTCACACACGTAGGTCGAGCCGAACAACACCAGCATCTTCTGCGCTGTCCTCCGGAGATTTGGAAATGCGGCTTCATTGAGTGAAGCATAAAAGTCATTCGGTTTCAGAGAGTTGAACTTCTCTTTTAAGACTGGGTCGGACTGAAGTTCGATCAGTTCGAGCTGCAGCTCCCCTGGAGCTGTTTCGGGGTCTTGTGACAGGGGACAGGCCACCAACTGAAGTGACTTGTCAATTTTTTCAAAATCAGAAAACCGACGGCAGAATTCTCCATGCAGCGCATCTAATGACTTGCTGTATTTCTTCACTTTTGCGCCGGCCTCTTTCAGCGTGGCTAGTGTGGGAAAATGTGTGAACGACTTATTTAAAATTTGCCTGGAGAATAAAACCAGCTTGGATTTGAAGGCTTTCACGTTTGTGTACATGTCCTGCACAAACTGATCCTTCCCCTGTAGTTTCATGTTGAGCTCATTCATGTGTGAAAATACGTCCGCAGCAAACGCCAAGTCACACAGCCAGCTCTTGTTGCTCAGCTCAGGAAATTCGTCAGCCTTTCCCTGTAACTCCAAAAATGCACCAATCTCCTCTTTGAGCTCCCATACTCGTTGAAACACTTTGCCCAAACTTAACCAGCGGACTCGGGAGTGATAAAGCAGGTCCTGGTGATCCGCATCAGTTTCCTCCAGAAACGTAATGAACTGACGGTGCTGAAGTCCCCTTGCGCGAATAAAGTTGACGAGTTTCACGACAGGATTCACAACATGATTCAGCTGTAATACCGATTTACATAGAGATTCCTGGTGGATGATGCAGTGGAGAAAAGTAACATCCTGGTCAGGATTTTCATCTTTGACTTTATTCTGGATTCTCCTCAGCAGGCCAACGTTTTTCCCCGTTAAATTCGGAGATCCATCTGTGGTGACGTTGATAAGTTTACTCCAAGGGAGCTTCATATTTTCGATGACAGCAGACACCCGGTCAAACAAGTCTTCTCCCCGTGTTTGTCCTTTCAGAGACTCCATTGTCAAAAACTCCTCCGTTATTTCAAAAGTGTCGTTAATCCCTCGGATAAAAATGAGGAGCTGAGCAGTGTCTTTGACATCGTTGCTTTCATCCAGTGCTAATGAATATAACGTGAATGACTCCGCCTTTTTATTTAAGTTGCTGGTGATATCTTCATCTATTAGTTCCACACGGCGAGTCACTGTCCTGCGCGATAAACTGATTTTTTCAAATTTGTCTTTGCTCTCTGGGCACAAGACACTTGCTGTCTCCACCATACATTCTTTTAAAAACTCGCCTTCAGACAGAGGCTTGCTGGCCTTTGCCAGTTTGAATGAAAGCATAAAACTTGCCTTGGTACTTGACTCCTGAATGGCAGTTTGGCGGTAAAAAAAGTTTTGTTGAGCCTGTAAATTCGCCGCCAACTTCTGAGCAGTAGCTTCCCGTCCTTTCGTTGACAGCTTGCTAGCATAGTTAGCGTGCTTTGTAGTGAAGTGACGGCTAATATTATATTCTTTAAAAACCGCCACAGTTTCCTGACATATCAGGCATACAGCAGACGATCGGTGTTCAGCGAAAAAATATTTAGTTATCCACTCCTTCTTGAACACTCGACATTCTCTGTCCACTTTCCTTTTCCTAGGTCCGCTCATCTCTACAGAAGGACTGAGGGGTCAAAAAGCAAACATCGAGTACCGTAATATGCGGAACCTCAACAAAGTCAATGTAACTAGAGTGCGCCATCTAGTGGGAACACATTAGAATTGCAGAGTGCGCCATCTAATGGGAACACATTAGAATTGCAGGGAAAATAAAACATTAACAAAGTTTATTTATTTAATTTCTTCAAGTTCGGCGGGCCGGATTAAAACGTTTGGCGGGCCGCATGTGTCCCCCGGGCCGTAGCTTGCCCATGCCTGAACTAGAATATGCAATGTTTCCCCACGAAGACAGACTAAGTCCAACTTTTGTTTAGCGAGGTCAGAAAAAAAAAAATCCCTCAAACCATGGGCTCACTGACCATAATACATTAACTGCAACCCGTCTCCTCTTTAAATAATGCATTTCATCAAGCATCAAGCCAATATGGTCCGGCACTGATGTGACTTTTTAGTGACCCTTTCCTTTTCGCCATGTTGAAACACAAAAAGTCAGCAACGAGCGTCAGTGACTGAATCAGCAACTTCAACTTCCTGTCAGAGCAAGGCTTTCAGTGGTTCACTGCTTCAACATTTCTGGATGAACACATAACTTTGCATTGCAAAGAACATCCTGTAGTCCATGACTGTTGCCTGTGAGCTGTTCATGAGAATTTACAAACAACACAGTTCCTCTGCAGCTTTGGAGAATCAACATTGACACGATGGCTTTTGAACATACACTGTCTAAAGTTGTGAAGGGTACCAAAAATATTCAAATACTGGACCGAGAGGGTGGAGCTAGACAAGCTGCAGGGTGTTGATTACTCAACAGACAATCGTCAATTGTGTGAAACAACAGGAATGGGCAGGACAAAAAAATGTCTTTCCCCCAGCCTTTTTGTGTAATGAATGAGTAATCAGAAGGCAGAACACAAAATGCTGGATGCCGTCCACTGTTACCGTTTGTTGAGTGAGTCACACTCCACTCCTTTGTTGAATTCATTAGAGGTTAAAACATTATATGACGTCATCTCATACAGACATCGCCATCAAGGATTAGCTGCCAAACTACAACAGAAAGCTGAATTTAATGTGAAGGGAGAAAATGGCAAACGGAAGAGCATTTGTCTTATTTTCCTCCTCGAATGTAGTTCAACTTGGTATGATGATGCAGTGCAAATCACGGTATGTCCCTCAGACAGAGAATACCATCACAAGCCTCCTCATACATAATTTTCTGACACAGAATACACCTTACCAAACTATCAAAGTCAATGCTTGGGGGCCAGATCTGGCCCGCCACATCCTTTGATATGGCCCAGGAAAGCAAATCAAACATATCAACCTCCATGTGGCGTGGAAAATTTCAAATTCACATATGTAATAAAGAAGCTATTGTAAGCATTTTTGTGACCAAACCCCTCATTACAGTCACTTAAACAATAGTTGAATGAACCATTATTCTTGACTTCTTTATATGGGTTGACAGTCAATAACAGCCCTCCAAGGAAAACGGTGACTACAATGTGGCCCCGAGACAAAAATGAGTTATATCTTAATTAGAGGTAAGATTGGGCCAAAGATCCGGCCCGACCCGACCCGGCCCGCGGGTATTAAAGCCCGACCCGGCCCGAGCCCGACCAATTAACTTGATTTGCAGACCCGGGCCCGAAGCAAACCCGAAATTTCATATTTTATTTGTGACGACTCGGGAGGAGGAGGGGTGATTTATGATAACAAATTAAAGCCTGTCTTTTGTAACGAAATCTAAGTTAAACGAAACTGTGTAAACATTTACATCTTTTATATTTCTGTTTCTGCAGAGGGTACATTAACCGACAATTTTCCATCATTGACGGATTTTTTTAAGAGTTGACGGGAAAAATTTAAGGCCGTCCGTCATTTTGACGGGTTGAAAATTGGGCCATACACTACAGCAGCAGTACGTCCTTAAGAATCTAGCGCGGCACTTTGAGAGAAGCAGCGAGACAAAGAAGAACAATGACGGATGGATAATAGACAGAGACATGAAGGAGTTCTTTGAATTGTCATTGCACGAGTTTAGTACAGTACGTGTTGTGATGAGATGACTTTTGTTTTTTTGCGAACCACGGTCTCTCGCGGCCAAAACTATTCACGGCCTCGAAACGCCTCAGCGCACTGTGATGTTTGGGTAGCAACATCACAGTGATATTTATTTTTTAAAAAGTCAGCGAGAGAGAAGCCCGGCCCAACCTGACCCGAAGCAATGATTGACATTTTAGGCCGAGGTTGTGCTCGGGTTTAAGATCTTACCTCTAATCTTAATCGATACATGGTTGATGAAAAAGAGAAGCAGACTCACCAAGTGCTAGTAGGTTCACTGAAGGTTCTGATGACTTAACTGGGCTGATTTTAGGGACTGGCCTTGACTCTTCATTTTTCTTAAAATAATAAGTTAACAGTCATTTAAGATGATAAATTGCTGAAATCTGAGAAAGCTGTGCGAATGTGCGTATGAGAACTTACCTTGGTGTAAGAAGACACCTTGCTCCCTCGCTCTGACTCCTTCTCTTTTTTCACACAATCTTTAGGCTGAGAAAACAAGCATTCAAAAAAATAAAATAAATGAGTTATGTTTGTTTGAGCCCAGAAAAAAATATATATAAATTGATTTAAGAGTGGCCAAATAGTCACACCAGACAACAAAAAAGGAACATACACTGCCTCCATTGGTCACATTCATGTTGTAGTATTTCTTCTTCTCATATTTATCCCTGATGAAGAATTCAACTGCTCTGAGGCCAGAGTCAAGGAAACACTGCAGGATAGCGGCCCTCCGGGACCGGATTTGCCCACCCCTGCTCTACAGGGTAAGCGGTGTTGAAAATAGATGGATGGGATTATTTTGACAATGGTTTGCAGTGTAGCTCTGCACTGTATGTCATTGTTATGGCTCTTGTGCCGGTGCATCGAAAATTGTGGCCAATGAATTCATACAAATCACATGACACTTTCAGGTAAGTGCAGATCGTGAAAGATACTGGTCTGTTTGAGGTCGTCTGAAGTTTGCAGGAAGGTCGGCCTCATAAAGCTGCCTGGCCTTGGTGTTTCCCATATCCTGTATACGCTGAAAAAAGAAGAGAGCACAGAAGGGTAAAGACAGAAATACAGGGCACTTCTTCAGTACATGCTCACAGTATTCATGTTTGTAACAAGTAAAAGCTGTCAGACCATCAGAATGACAATCAAATTACTGACATTATCAGTTTTTGGATTCAAAATGTGACATTAACTTAACATGGGACTACAGATGAAAATTGGCCGATAGCTATAATCGGGCATATTTACGTCTAAATGTTCATTAATATGCAACGCCACTTTTTAAATGAATAATAAAATAATACAAAATTATTTGTGTAAAATTTGGGCCTGTTTACATGAACAAAAAGCTGATCAACTAGTAGGACGCCTTAAGGCCTTTTCACACAAATGTCCGCCGGGTTCTGAGGGTTGACGTAGTAACATACCAGGAAGTAAACAGGGAGGCTTTTCACATGGGTTTAGACGAGAAGTAGATTCCACCTTGGCAAGACGTACCCATCATTGCAGTGAAAAAAAAAAGCCCTGGCTTTGCTCATTTTCAGGAGGGGAACGAGACAAGTACCAGAAGAAAATGGCAATGGTGCATCACATCAAGGCTCGCCAGGAACATGGACATGTTAAGCTCGTTTATGAGCTACCATTTCTAATGCCGTTTAATGTAAAAGCCCATCAAAATATCACATAGAATCACTCTGCCAGCCGTTCTCCTATTGGAGAGCGAAACGGCAGCGCTTTGTCATGTGATGGACTTAACCAAGATTTATCCACTCCTGGGTTACAAGGCTCACATAGTATGACATTTTTCGTTTTTTTATCAAATGTTTTAATCAAAGGCATGATTGTAAATACTGATTATAAATACTATGGAATATCTTTTAGTTTTCGCATAACCTGTTCTGGTTTTTTACTGGAGGAGACACGCTGCTTTTGCTGCATAAACTGTGGAAGTAGTAAGCAGTACTAGAAGAACAAGAAGATTTGTCGATCCTAAAATAGTGGTGACAAACTGTAGTTTTAGCAGTGACGTACTGTAATTTAACAATGACGGAAGCACCGCCAAAGTATTGACAATGGACTGCCTGACGGTCCTAAAATATTGGTGATGGGCTGTAATTTAGCGATGACAGAAGCGCTATTCAAATAACAATGACGGACTGATGATTTTTGTGAGATTCACCTTTAAATAATGATGGTACTTACGATGACGGACGTGTGCCCTGGCCACTGACTAATGATGGACAGGCAACATTTTATAATTGTCCACTTCTGTCACTGGCATTAATAGAACACACATTTGATTGTAATAATACCCTGCAGCACCCCTGATGAACTGCTGTGCCCCCGTGATTAGTAATCACAACCTACTGTATTCACCCACTGCATTATGCATGTTGTAGTACATTGTGCTTTGAAAATTTCTATGATAAAACACGACGGGAAATAAAAAGGCAAACCTTATAGCAGGAACATTAACACGACCGTACCTGGATTTGATCTGAGGTCCATTGGTCCAAGTTGACTGACTTCACTCGGGATATGTGGACACCAAGGTTCCTGTGGATGCCCGCACACCGAATGCAGATAAATACTCCCAGGTTCCAAGACGCCCATCTCGGACCTGACAAAGGAAAGAGGGCCCCATGGTGGACCGGACTAGTAAGAAGTGGCATAAGATCAAAGCCCAAACACTACTCTTGCACCCTACATCTTTCTGTGACGTGACATTGAAGCTTTAGAACTGTCTGAATTAATACGTGATAAACATGCTGTGTGATGTTTCTAGGAGTAGAAACGGATTCATTGTGAAAGGACATGATGCGTGCTCTTGCGAAGACGAAACGGGTTAACCTGTTAGCGAGGCACTTAGTTTAGCTTCAAGGGACGCGGCGTCAGCTGACTGTCGGAGCCGCTTCCGTACCTCGCAGTCGCCTTATGTAGGCTTACAGATGCTACGATTGTTCTTAACGCGTACCCTAAAATATAAATCGACGTTTTGTGTGGCAAAATGTAACAAGTACTCGACATCGTGAATGTCGCACCTTTCGCCTCGCAGTCGGCACAATACTTGTTGTCTTCCTCTCTGAGCATTTTGGACAGGATGGCCTGGTGCTGCTCGTTCAGTTTCTGGGCCTTCTCTCTCTCTGAGCGGGTCGTCATGTTCACTTCTTCTGTTGAATGTATCGAATAAAATAGTAACTACAACAATCCGTCGATAGTCAAGAAAAGGTACCGATAAAAGACCATAATCAGCAAGGCGAACGCCTCCGACTGGTATGAAGACACCCGGAACCGGAATCACTTCTCCGCCCACGGGAATTCGCAAACTGACGCGTCGGCCAAATGGGATTGGACAGCCGCAATGACGTCGAATGACTCACTGAGTTTCTTCACGTTTCGGACCAAAGGAACTGTTATGCTTGGTTTCAGGATGTTAAAATTTAATCATGCAACTTTTACACAATACAATCACAATCCGTGACAACCATTATACGTGTAGGGTGGTCATATGAAAAAACAAAACCCTGTACTGTACGCTACAACAGCTGGACGACACACTTCATTAGGTACACCTGAAAAATCTAATACCAGAGCTGCGAGTAAAGTGATTCCTTGCCCCAATTTATGAGTTTTTCGACTAATGAGCCGTCACTGGGTCAATTTTCGTGCTTTGTCTTGCGAGTCACAATTTGAATTAAGAGCGATCATTAGATACGCCCCTCCTCGAGTGAAGGGAGCAATCGAAAAGGAGTCACTGATGCACTTTCAGCCATTAACTGAATAGGACACACACTCAAACACAAAATGAAAAAAAAAAATCACAAGAGCACAAGAAGACGCCAACACAGAACAAACTTTATTGCAAATGGACAAGCGAAGCTGGAGATAGGCTCCAGCATGCCCGTGACCCTCGTGACGATGAAGTGGTTCAGATAATGGATAGATGGATGGATGAATAATCATAATTTAATATGTAAAATCGTAATATATTTGGTAATAGTTATAATTCAATGGTTAGGTTAAAGGTGGAATATTCTTCTGAAATGTCAGAGCTATAAATTACAACACATGATAAAAGCCATCGTTTTTGTACGTCAAAAAAAAAAGTTTTTATGTCAAGATCAAAAATACATTAAGGGACACAAAGCCTTCATTGATTAAAAATTTGCTGACCAGTGTTATTCAGCTCAAAATTGCCATTAAAATTAGCATGCAGTATTGTTTTTGAAAAAGACACTTTCATCGGATCCCAATAGATTGTGCGGCTGAGCCACCAAAGGCAATTTGGCATATGAGAATTGTATACATGCAGCTAAAGCAACACAAATATAAATTAGGAAGGACAAGGAAAAGCAGGTTCAGGATTGGTCCATTTAATTAATGCAAAATACACCACAGCTTCAGAAAAAAGTTTCCAGGCGAATCTTGAAGTTATTCTCCCGATGTCTTACAGCGATTCCATGGCGGAGCAGCATCTCTACATACGGTGGCCAGAAAGTGGAGTCTATTGCCACATACGGGTCATGTGGCGTGTTCAGGGCCTTGTTCATGAGCAGCTGCAGGATATAGAGGAAGAAGTTCATATGATTGAACACTCTCTCCATCCTCACAGAACAAAGCAAAAGGTCTTTTTAACCTTGGAAGAAGAAGGCATATCGTGTCGGCACAGTGACTTCAATAAGTAACTTTAGTCTGGAAACAGTAATTTATTAGATTATTAGTGATTTACTCAAGCATCTGTGGTGGAAATGTGCGCGGCTAGCCAATCGAAGTCCCCCGTTAAACATTGGTTTTCAAGTTGAAATGAACAGAATCCACCAATAAATGAAAGACGAAGTAAACAAGGAGTAATAGTAACACATTGACCAAACGTACAGCTAAAAGCGCAGCTGATGGGCAGCCATGATTTCCAAAGACGAAGCTATTTTGGCAAGAGAAGTTTCTCCCCTAACGGTATCTCCCGAACGACATGGCGGAGGAAGCTGTTGTGCACAGTATGTCGTCAAAAACAAGGAAATCCAACAAACTCGTTGAAGCATTTGAACATGTAGCAACCAAGTGATCAAGTGAAAAGCATGAAAATTCGAGCAGTTTGTTGCTGATGCTATTTTGCATACAGCGGTCAATGACTCATTCATTCAAATAATATCTAAGAAGCGCAATGACGCAACAATCTCTTAAGTCTTCATAATTCTGAGTGTTGAAAATTTAGTCGTAAGTAGTGCAACAGAACTCACCTCCAGAATATCACTGAGGGGAATTAAGTCTTCATTTACTTCATTTGGAATGTTCTGGGGAAATTGGGAACATGATGAGCTACAGTATATCAGACTTGGAAACACCATAGTTTGTGTCTCATCTTCAACAACATGGTGATAACACCAGAAAATTGAGCACACCTTCTTGTTTGTTTTGAGGTCATTGCATGGAGGAGGAACATGTTTTTCTAGGATGTCTCCCAGAGACTCCATCAGCTTTTCCTTGTAGTCTTTCATTTTATTGATCTTCTCCTTGGTTTCCAGCAGAACACTAGAATCCACGTCGACACACACAAACCACAATAATCACACTTTTTACTAGTTTTCTATGAGTTTTAAATACTTGTAGTTTGCTGCAGTAACGTATTTTTAGACTGTTAAATGGACGAAAACCTAGTGCAGTGGCTTTTCGCTAGCTCACACCGGTTCACATCTGTAATGAATGACAAGAAATTGAAACCGTTCAACCCCAGTAACCAGTTGGGCATAGTGATTGACAAGTTTCCAAACTTCAAAGTGTATAGATCCCTGGTAACATTATTTTATGAATCATTGATGCAACCCGGCGGCCTGGTGATCCAGTGGTTAGCGCATCTACGTCACAGTGCAGAGGCACCGGGTTCAATTCCATCTTCGGTCTCCCTGTGTGGAGTTTGCATGTTCTCCCCGGGCCTGTGTGGGTTTTCTCCGGGTATTCTGGTTTCCTCCCACATTCCAAAAACACACATGGCAGGCTGATTGAACACTCAAAATTGTCCCTAGGCGTGAGTGCGAGCGTGGATGGTTGTTCGTCTGTGTGTGCCCTGCGATTGGCTGGCAACCGCTTCAGGGTGTCCCCTGCTTCCTGCCAGAAGACGGCTGGGATAGGCTCCAGCACCCCCCGCGACCAATGTGATTGGAAAATGAATGGATGGATTTATTCAACCCGTTTTAACCTTTAACCTTCATTGAGCTGCAAGTTGGCAATTTTGCCAGTTCAAGCTCTAATTGTAATATATACAAGTTGCACTTGAATATACCAGAGATGAAAGTGGACTTTCCTGAAAATTCCGGAAAAAAGAAAAAATTATATATATGCCGTGTGTGTGTGTATACACACACACACACACTATAGGGGCGCCCGACCCGAATTTTGGGTTCGGGTCGGGCTTCTCTCTCGCTGACTTTTTTTTTTGTTTGTTTCTCTCTCGCTGACTTTTTTTTTTTCGAGGCCGTGAATAGTTTTGGTCACGAAAGACCGTGGTTCGCAAAAAAAAAAAAAAACAGAAGTGGCGTCACCACAACACGTACTGTACTAAACTCTCGCAATGACAATTCAAAGAACTCCTTCATATCTTTATGATCCAGCCGTCATTGTTCTTTTTTGTCTTGCTGCTTCTCTCTCTTCAATCGCAGCGCTCGATTCTTAAGGACGTACTGTTGTTGTGAATGGCCCAATTTTCAACGCGTCAAAATGATGGACTGCCTTAAATTTTCCCCGTCCACTCTGAAATAAAATCCGTCAATGATGGAAAATTGTCCGTTAATGTAACCTCTTCAGAAACAGAAATATAAAAGGTGTAAATGTTTATCCAGTTTTGTTTAACTTAGATTTCGTTCCAAAAGAAAGGCTTTGTTATCAGAAATCACCCCTCCTCCTCCCCCCGAGTCCTCACAAATAAAATATGAAATCTCGGGTTTGCTTCGGGCTCGGGCCTGCAAATCAAGTTAAGTGATCGGGCTTATGCACCCTTTGTGGCTTCCATTATCGCCGACATTTCGAAATCTCAGAGATATGGCGAGGCCATGAGAATGCGAGGCGAGGGTATTACTGTTGTGGTGACGCCACTCTAGCTAGTCCGCTGCTCTCTGCTGTGCGTACGTCAGCGCGAACATGTGCGCAAGCGCGTCTTTTGATTTCAACCAATCAGCGCCGACGCAACGACGTCACACACGACAACAGCTAAGCTAAGCTAGCCGAGATGACACTCGAAGTCGGACGGACACGTTTTTCTGCCAATCTGTGTGTTTCCCTTTTTGTCCAAATATATTTTTTACGACAACTGTCTTGTCCACGGTGTCTTTTATTCGTTCCACTGGGGTTTAGTAAGTGTGTTTATAAAGAGACGAAAATCTCTTCTCTGTTACTAGTGTTAGTGTCTCAACATGGCTACGCTCGTTAAAGCAAAACAACGAACTCAAACGCGTCTTCGTTCAATGTTGTCAACTAATATCGGGATTAATTTTAGGCAAATTTTCCTCAATTCTCCGGAGAGATTTTCATAAAAATTTGAAAAACCCGGAATTCCGGAGGACTTTCATCTCTTACTTGTACTGTAAATCACAGGACCAGCCAAACTATGAAAAAAAAGTGCAATGTATAGTCCGGAATATACAGTATTACAAAATATAGAGTGGGCTGAGCATTTAGCAGCACAAAAATAAGTTTGTGTTCAATAGTCTTGCATTGCAAAAGAGCAAAAGTATCCATTTCACCGAACGTCACCCTCACCTGTGCTCTGATAATTTCTCACTTTGTTCTTGTAGTCGCTTAGCATGCTCAGTGGCAGCACTGAGCACCTGTCCTTTTTCCTCCAACCACTTCTGTTCACTTTAACACACAATTGACACGAAACCATGAACAAAACACCTCCCAAGAGAAAGTAATGCATGCATGCGATTTAAAAGATCACGTACAGTTCTTTCGTTTCTCGCAGCTTGTCCCGCTTTGCTTCATAGCAAGAGAGAACCATCTCAAGTTCAGAGCATACCTTGAGCATCTGTGCAAAACAGAGCGGGCATGTCAGAAGCAGTCTCCTTTTTCAGTCCTGTACTTTTCTTGCACATGTACCTCCTCTTTTCCAGCTTTAAGTAACACTTCAGAGTTTTCTGCCAGCACTACATGGATTAAAACAAACACACAAAATTAATATGATACAATTCCCCCAGTTTACTAGTGTATACAGTACATGAATTTGTTTGTTGGTGAGGAAGTCAACATAAACTGCAAAACTTTGGAGAAAAAGTGGTGAAGGTGTTCTACCCTTTTTTTCCAACTTGTGTGAAACTGAGTTATTTCTTGGGTACTGATTAATGCAAAAGGCTCCCAGATTGAGACACAATTTGGAAATGACAATGCTGAAATTCCATGCATGCCTTGATAATTTTATTATCATATGTTATCCATATTTGATTATATTCATTGATATGAAGGAATTGATTTTGTTGATTATTTCTCACAATAATTAGGAAACAGATAAGTATCAATTTGTAGCACTTGATTTCTGTCACTCTCTGCCAGTGTTAACATGTACATCACAAATGATCACCTCTGTAACATTCCTAGAAAATCAACGTCAACGACTGTTGAGGTACTTTTTTTTTTTTTGAAAGAAGAAGCTCACTCGCGGACTACTCATGTGGTCCTCGAGGACTACCTGGTGCCCGTGGACACCACATTGGTGAACACTGGTCGATAACAAATGAACAAATAAGTTAGAGGCTGAACTGGGCAGACATCAGCATTGAGTGTTGTTCGAGTTTAGATTTATTCTGAGTGTGTGTCACTGAATGATCTTATTCTAACTTTTTCACCATACATCTTGAAGATTATGTTACAATTTATGTGTAAACAGTCATATTTATATCCAAAAGTTCCAATGGTTACTTACGCCTCGGTTCCACTGTAACCCACTGCTTCATTTCCGCTTTGGTTACTAACAGCCGATTAACGGACTAAAAAAAAAAGAAAAAATACATTTGTCATTACAAAAAAAAAATCACCATTGCTTTGAATTCATTAACTAGCCCAGGCCACATTGAAGAAATACTGATCAATCTAAAAATACGCTGCAATACGGTATGCAGGAAGATAAAAGGAAATACCAAGCACTCAATTATTTCTACCCTAACTGTATGTGGGGTATCGACTGAAGCGTATCTAAAAAAAAAAATCAAAATGTGCAGCCAGCTCACCTGCGCTTGATTATTTTCACATTGGTCTGGCTCACATAAAATGATCTTGTTTTGAAGCTGCAACAGGGCAAGTATTTTGTTCAGTTTCCACAGAATTGTCATTTCAGTGCTCAAAATCAAGAATATAGGTACAATACTAATGCATAAATCACCTTATCGAGCTGAGCAAACTGTTGCTCACATTGGTTCACTAGCTCCACCTGGGCAGCTTCTGACAGTTCCGTTAGAGCCTGGTTGCCCTGTTTAACGTCATCCTGCAGACATAGAAGCAATTTTGAGTAGGAGGTGAAGTCATGTCAACAGTTCATAGTCATTGGTGTAATGTTTCAATTTTCAATATTCAACAAACATAAAACATATACCCAAGAGTCGTTGCTGTTGTTTATTTTTTCCCAGAAGTGTTTTACCTTGAAAAAGTATATAATCCATTCCCTGGGTCTGATCATCAAGCCACTATTAGTGTCTCAAATCGGGCAGTATGATTTACTGTATCATAGGTGTCAAACTCAGGTCCTGGAGGGCCGCTGCCTTGCATGTTTTCCAAGTCTCCCTGTTGCAACACACCTGATTCAAATTAAGAGGTTCAATGTCAGGCTTCCGCAGCGCTTGCTGATGATCTGATCATTTGAATCAGGTGTGTTGCAACAAGGAGACTTGGAAAACATGCAGGACAGCGGCCCTCCAGGACCTGAGTTTGACACCTATGTACGATATGGTTTGTTTCCCCAAGTCTTCTTCCGATATATTTTTGTAATAAACACAAGCAATACATTGATCTGTATTACATACATCAATATACAGTGGCGGACCCTGAGGGCCAGCAAGGCCTTCTCTGCTGGCCTAAACATTCTCAGAAAAGTAAATTTACTTTTCTGAGAATAACATAAATTTGTTATTTTATTTTCATAAATATGTTAACAAAATTATTCTCTGTATTCTTTACGTCATATTATTTCCACTTAGTTGAGTGGCTTTCAATGTTATTTTAAATAACATTGAAAG